CCAGAGTCCAAAAGCGAGTGACAAATCCTGTTGCGCAATGGCATGCTCAATATGTGAATAAACTTCCGGAGGAACCTGGGCGGTCTGAACCTGATGTGTATCAACCTCCAGATCGTCGAATGCCCGAGGGAGCATCCATTTCCAGACCTGTGGGTTTGTTGAGGGGATGTCGAACCGACCCACCAAAACCGCGTGACTATCCAAGTCAGTCGTGTGTGAAACGGACATACCTGTCAAAAAGCGAGAAAAGTCAGGGTTGCCAAACTGGAAAGTGTGGCGTGTCGCACCTTTACACGTGGGGTCCAACTTGGCGCCAAACCTACTATGTGCCAACTCGTGCATGTCAGCCCAACCATCTGCGTTCAGCTCACGGAGCACATCGAAAGCTCGCCAGCTGATATTCATGTCACCTGTAATGACAATGGGCCCCTGAATTGTCTCAGCGATCTGAACCACCCAAGCCAAGATCTCGGAATTCAACATGTATTTATGGCTACCAACGACCGCATTGGGGAAAAGGTACACCGTGAAGACATGGAGCGGGACCTGGAAAACCTGAACAACAGTATAAAGCAGACGCTGTGAGGACCAAGCCTGTCGCGGCAAAAACTGCGGTCGAGGCGTAAAAGCGGGGAAGACACTTGCAACACAGACTCCCCTGCTAAGGCCTCGGAAAGAGCCAAGAGCACTGGAGACTTGAAACTTGTCTGGAACTGGGTCCGAACAGGACAGATTGAAACCAAAACCTTTGAACTCGGAATAAAGGGCGGGCAGAGCCCTCCTTGTGTGGGAAGTTTCACTGAACGCGACAACCTGGCACTCCCACTCGCGCACCATATCCCCCTTGCCCAAAAGTTGGGTGGGGTTTGTTGTCGCGAATTGAAGCGAGACCTATGGAACAGCCTCGGCGACACGCCGGGACTTGGGGGAGTTACTCAAAATCTCCTTCAATTCGTTGTATCCAGTGACATATTCCGTCCTCAATTCCGAGATAGCTTTCGTGTTGGCTTTCTCGAGCTGGCCAAAGCAGGATTGTTGATTCGCCATGAGCTTGGCAAACATGGCCTCGACCTTCGCATCAAATTGTGATTCATGAGCATTGACCCTCGCGTCGATGGCCTGCACATTTGTCTTGACTTCAGCCAAAGATGCAGCAGTTTCCGCATGCGTCTGAACGACCTGGGCCGCAAGTTCAGCAACACGATTTTCAAGCTGATCGAATTTTGCTGGGACCGCACCTTGTGACGGCGCACTGGCCTGTGGGGCGGATGTTGCAAGTTTGGCAAGTGTGGGTCGTAACCTGCGTGCCGTAGTGGCAACGACATCGTGTGTATCCTTGGATTCCTGCTCAATCACCAACACCGCTGAAGCTCGGATAGGAAAAGATCTTGTGGGTGGTGAGACAGAACTCGTAATCGTCCAAGCCTTGATACCAGCCGAACGCAGAACTTTGACCGGCCAATTCAAAGCTCTCAATGCCTGCTTCAATGTAGACCTGGTACAGTCATCAGGAACACCCAACAGTTGAAAGCGCCTTGAGCCTCCTTCGTCGGAATCACTTGACTCAGGTGCCTGTGGGAAAATTCTCTTTTTCAACAGCTTGTATTCAGTGGCAAGGACCCGAACTCCAATACCATGTTTGGACCTGGTCAAACCGAGTGAAGTCGACAGGGATGCCTGAACTGGTCTTGCTTCCTGCAATGTGTGACCCCTGAGGAGAATGGACCGATAACGCAAATCTGGTCCTTTGTCGGCAATACGAGTATTCGGGTAGAATCCTGACATGCCTCCCAGTCTCAAAAGTGCATCAACTTTGCTTTTCTCAACTTTAACAAAACCATGAAAATATTCCGCCTCCGACGCGATAGCCTTTTTACCTCGAGTGAAGAAGGCCTGACTCCAGGTCTGCGCAATGGCATCGAGCGCGAAACCAAGCTGCTTGAGAAAGATACTGATACCTTCTTCCGAAAGCACCTTCCATTTGTCACCTGCTTCATTCCTATAGATGTGCACCTGTGCCACTGCTTGGTTAGACACAGACTCCTGAAACGCCAGAACCGAAGTAGAACGAGTTTCTACTTTCTCATCCCCCGTTTGCACAATAGTGCACCTGAGTGCTACCGGGTGATTTTGCAACCAACCTGGCACAAGCAGTGTTTCTGCTTTTCCTGGGTATTGCCTTGATATCTCTTCACCCGCGGCACCAACCACAAGAACCGCAGAGGCCGTAACACACAAGTTGGCCTTGCTGACGGTATCGAGATCTACAAAATCCTCAAAACGAACGATGTAGATTCCCGGCCATCCCTGCAGAAGTTGTGCGAATTCGATCTGTGGTAGGGGCTGCTGGTTCAAATGAAAAAAGGACAAGTCAACTCGTGCAGTGTGTGCCTGTTTACGGGTACGGCGGTCGGTCGTGGGTGCATCAGTGTCACCAACTGCAGCTTTGCCATACCTTGCCCAAGGGTCGTTGTCAAAGACGAGATCCTTCTTATTTTCCTTGGACCTGTGTTCAGGTGGTATAAGCACTATTCCTGCGGCCGAGGCTTCATGTTTCAAGGTAGGCCAAACAGCTTTGGAATCAAGGATTTGCTTGCACCTTTTTTGTCCAAACTTGTCAATGAGTGTGTTCGCCTGAACCTTCACGTTACCTGATGGATGTCCATGCGCAACCAACAAGGTTTGCAGTTGTTCAGAGATAGCAGCCAGTGCACCTGGTGCTCCTCCAGGCAAACAGAAGAACCTGGCTCTCAAGGGCCCAAACGCATCTGCGGTCACAATGGGAACATCAGAATGGATCGGTTTGCCATTGGCAAAAATCCTGACTCCGGCTCGTCCGCTGGTGTGCATGCTGGAGATCAACTGTTGGACCTGAAACACACTAGTCAATGGGTCAAGCAAAAATGTCCCATACGGGTGGATCTGGAAAGGCTGGGGCCAGAATTCAACCTGATACGAGCGCCCACGGAATGGGAAGGATGAGACATCAACTTTGACACCATCGGGGGTTGTGGTGACAAAAGGTCGCTGACCCGTTCGAAAAGAAAAGGTTTCATTCACCGCATCCTCAATGGTAGCACCATTCCGAAACTTCCAGAAACGGATTTCACCTGCAGAGGTAAATGGGATCTCTGTTGCCAAGTTACAAACGGACAAACCTGAAACGACGTCAAGGTCAAGAAAATGGTGATCGACCCACATCCAAGCAGGGATTTCAAAGGGAAGCTTCAGGGGGTCACTGCAAAGTGCCTTTAACGCGAACAGCGGGTGAAGGCCTGGCCACTGAAGAATCACACGGATTTCCCCTGAATCAAAATGACCTCCATGGATCGAAGCCTGGCACAAATGATGGCACGATCGTCACAGAGAACACGTGCCACTTCTAAGATACCACATTGCCTCACAGACGGGAGAAGGGCCAAGCAACTCAAATCGCCTGACATGCCAGCCTCAACTGGCAATGGGAAAAGCTGAGCTTGCAGGTGCACATAGTGTGCAGGGTGCACAACGACCCCGAAAGACCTGTCAATACGGCAGTCCACAAGTTTCCAATGAGCATCCATAAGAACCCTAGTGGTCAACCGCAAGGGAATCTGTTCAAAAAGCCAAGCATGAACAAGTCGACGAATGGCGCCCCCATCGAACGGCAGGTCCGATACCGACGCAAGCGCAATCAAGGCCTGGGGGGGGAGACGGCATTTCCAACACAGGACATCGCGAGATCAAGGTCCTGTGGCAAGCAAAGGCTGGAAGAAAAACCGAGCGCACGCGCTCCCTCAAACATGTCCAAAAACCTAACCCCACCCGGGGAGCCAGGTTCACGCAACAACCAAGTGAGGATACCCTTCCTGGACAAATGAGTTGACGACAGCCGAGATTGACGCCTGTATGACGCAACAAGAGTAGGTAAGGTATCTCTGCAAACAACTCGCAGGTCAAGGACGCCAGCACCGTCACGGACACCTTTCATCAGAGCATCAAGCCTGAGCGGGTCAGGCAAAAGGCTTCTTTTGGAAAGTAAATCCCTCACCTGAAGGGGGACTTGCGTTTGCTCCATGGCAACCTGGTCAACGACCCTGAAGTCAACCGATTTCGCACGACAATTGGAAATGGCGCGGAGTTCGTCAAACTTCTCTTGGACTTGTCCTACCCCAAAGAGAAGGAAGCACCTGTTGCGAGCCATATACCCCAATTGAGCCAAATCAGACTTGACGACCTTACATGGCGTAGGCAGCCGATGCAACAGAGCCTGGACTAATTTCCAGTGCGGGTGTTCCAGCCCTGGTACATTCTCCATTGCCGCTTGGGAAATACCAAACAAGTACATGATACCTAGGGAATGCACCAACAGCCGCCCAAACGGGTGATTCAGTCCTTGGCCTCTACCAGCTTGTGACCAGGGCTGACAAGGAGTCGACCAGCCCAGACCTGTGAAAGGACAAACAAGGGTAGTAATCCACCAACGTGGGTCCAAGACGTCACCAGCCAAAACCGCATCCTCAACATTGGGGTCAGTGACAAAACAGTCAACATCAACCAAAGGTCGTTGCGTAGAAGCTGACAAGGCCGCCGCAACAACGGGGTCAATTTCAACTGAAAAGACTGGGACCTTGGTGGGGGAAAGTGCATTGATTGCTTGTCCCCAACCTCCAATTCCTGCAAACATTTCAAGGACCCGAGGTGGTGTCTCTCCTGTTGACCTTTTGACCAAAATGCTATTCCATGAAGGGGGTGGAACATGAAAAACAGGAACACCCGTCACTGAACCACAACAAAATCCCTGGAACAAACAAAGATCATCACCAACTCGAAGGGAAACCACCGCATGGAGAATAACCCAAATGTGCCTGCCTTCCGTAGTGACGGCCTCGAGGACACCTGAGTCGTGCGTGGCGATAACCCTGAAATGTATTGTCATCGGACCTGTAAATTGAAGAGCCTGCAAAGAATGTGAGAGGTACCTATGGAAACACTCATCAACACAATTACCAAAAGTGGACTCAGGAGGTGAGGGAAGCCTGAACTGACTCATAGCGGATGAACATCGGGTGCAGGTCCAACCTCGACCAAAAAGAAAACAAGAGGGACAACAATCTCCCTGCACCATATACGCTCGCGCCGTCACAAGTTGGTGTGCAGGTGCCTGCATATGCAATTGAAACCGAGCCTCATAGCTCCTGTACACCAAAGTGATACCTGCGTCACTTCCAAGATCCGCAAAGCGGGAATCTCGTAACGCATTCAAAAGTGCCGGAACTCTCAGGTCATCTTGTCCAGGAAGTAGGACCGTCTTTGGCATCCTGTACGGCGGACCGTCGTCAAGCTCTTCTTCAACACGCGGTTGAGTCCAGACGCAGGTGGGGGAAATGTCCAGAACTGAGTCCTCGTCGATCTGAGTCAGTCGGATACTTGCCGCAATGTCACCTGTGTCAGATGGTGTGACCTGAGCTAAAGGCACTTCCTGAAGATCGGCCTGTAAATTTTGCCAGCCAACCGTAGTTTGAGTGTCCGAAGCAGTTGCATCACCTCTTTCGGCATTCCGTACACTTGCGACATGTGGGATTTCACTCTGCGTGTTGCCGCAGTGGTAGTTGATGTTGCAACTTGTGCCTTCCTGAACGGCGAAACCAGAATTGTCATTGTAATCCGAGCCGTGAACGATGTCCTCCTGTTCAACCCGAATATCCAGACAGTTCTTCCATAACCGGACCTTCCCTTCTTGAACTCTTTTTTGGCACACAAAGACTCCCTGATTGTTTCCGAATGCGGAGCCATAGTCAGTGATGTCGCCAGCAGCTGCAGTTGGAGCACCGCGCAGCCATGGCGTCGAGACGCGCTCCGAGTGCTCGGAAGCACAACACCCTGAGTCCGAACGAGAAAACAACACAAACGGATCAGGACACCCAACCTCACCTGAAGGACACAAAGCACGTAGGTCGGAGGAGGCACAGACATGGGTAACGTCCTGAACAGCACACAGGGCTTCATCACCATGAATGTCACCGAGACCAGTACCAACACCATGAGAGGCCTGACATGACACGCAAGCAGAACCAAAAGGGACACCTGAACACGTTGTTTGTGGACACTGCACATCTATGCAATCACCTGAACTTGGAACAAGGGGCCATTGGGGTGCGCACAAGGGGTCAACAGCTTGATCAGCACGCTCGACCTGTGGCTTCTGACAAGAACCCAAATTGGTCTCTGCTTGGACACCTGAAAGGGACTCACACGGAGGGTTTGAGCGCCTTTGACCAGACCCAGAACCTGATCCGCCCTGAAAAACTGGCCTACCACGTTTTGGGGCAGATGTGGAGTGTTCAGCCGGACTGCGGCTCCGACCTTTGTCTCCACTTTTGTCACGGTCGTCCCGATCTTCCTCCTTTGGCATCTTTTTAGGAGGTTCGTCATGTCCAGAAGATCCTCGCAGCACCTTCAAAAAGACACTGGCAACCCTGTCACCAATTTCGACATCGTCAAGAGCTAAGGACCAGTGAGTGCCATAACTCAACAGTGAAAGCTTTGAGTCACGACTGAACGTGGACAGCACAGTGCCGAAATCAGTAACATTACCAAAAGACATCGGATCCTCTTCGCCATTAAGCACAACAAAATTCAAAGTGTCCAAAGCCGCGGGGAACTGGCCCTGAACAGAATTCAACAAACGGATCAATTGAGTAGGAATCTTGTTGAGACCTGGCGGAGGACTGAACGCCAGCGCAAGTTTGGGGCCAGCAGGGGCCTTTGACGAGCTGGCAGTTCCTGTTGGTTCATCCCATTTAGATTTCCTGATCCTTTTGGGTTTCACTCCTCGTGTCCGATCTTTTGATTCAGATTTCCTCTTTCGATCGGGTGTCGTGGGCCTGACATGTCGGAATTGTGTGGGGACCTGCGGGTCATCACCAACTTGACTCTGCGTCGACATAGGCACGGCACCCAAATCAACATGGAACGCAACTGAGTTGGTATGCACAGTGTTGGAAAAAGAAGCTTCCAGCACCGCCTCAGTACTGTTCAAAAAGTTAACCAATGGGTCTTGCAACCACAGGCGCAGTCTCTTACCTGGCAAGTACAGCGCTCCGTAGTGAAAAGGATCACTTGAATCCTTTGCCAAGGTTTTCACAAAAGGCCAAATAAACTCGAGAAGTTCGGCACCTGTTGATTTTTCCCTCAGTTCTGCCATCTTTGTAACCACGTAGTCACCTCTAAAAGTGACATACACCGTCAGCTTTTCAGGTCGCTGGACTGACAATGTCTCAACCTCCGGGTCACACAGGGGAACACTGAAAGAGGCGGGTCCAAAAACACCTGCAAGTGAACTTGGGAGTAAGGGACAAATGGGCCGCGGAAGAGCCAAAGAGACCTCCAAGAGGGATTCGACATCCACATGCTTGTCCACCTGAACAGGGGTTGGGGGCCAATCGCCAGCAGGAAGCGCACCAATGGACAACTCCAACTCCCTGAGGTCAGTAGCACCAGCACGCAAGGACGCCACAGGGTGAGTACGGGGGTCAAGCCTCGCAGCGCGGAAAAGACACCTGGTGGGTGCATCCGGGAATAGGTGCTGCCTAATAACCTCAAACACCACCGGGAGTTCCTGAGCAGAAAACTCACCAATGAACTTCAAGAATTCACGTACCTGTGGCTCCGACAAAATGTGGGTCCTGAACCGTGAGTCAAGGTGACTCCTAAGAGCCTGCTGTCTGGCACGGATACACCCTAGACCGCAAAGACCACTGATAAGCCTCAGCGCTCGGCTATACTCGGTCAAAAAGCAGAGCCCAGGTCTTTCGTCCGTCAGCCTTTCGATCCACACACCGTCCATGGCAAAGGGCCAAACCACGGAACGGTGGGGAGACGAAGACAGCAGAGGAAGGGCAAAACAAACAAGGGGACAGAAACAACCGAAAACACAAAAGTCAAGGACCTGAAAGGAAGGGGGACAGGACCAAAAGGGAAGAACACCGGGGTTCAGAACACACCAAAATACTCCTCAAGCTATCAGTCGAAACAGCCCCTACCACTGGAAGGTTGCTTGAGCCAAGGGCTTGTAGTATTTGACCAAACTTACTCACATTACTTGTATCTGAATCGCTGGTATGACGTCCATGAAATTTCTGGAAAATGGATCTTCCACTTCAATGATCTGGGTAAATCATATTTCATATTTCAGCATGGCCTTTTGGGTCAGTGACAGCCTTTTTTGCAAGACCACCTGACCATCAGCTCGAGACACCATAGAATAGAACAATCCATTGAACATTCCCAGGAACGGATAATCGATGGTTCCTACGTGTTCCTACACCATTATCCTTATGATTATCATCATTGTATCATAATCATTGTTGCCATTATCGTTATCATCATTTATCATCAATTATCATCAACTATCATCAGTTATCATCAATTATCATCAATTACAGTATCATCAATTGTCATGGCCACTGGTATTATCCTTCTTATGTTTGCTGACTCGAATTCTTACCAATCACACAATCTCAGCCAAGATAGGCCAAGTTCACAACTCGCGATGCTCCAACTTTCACAGCTCTGCCCAGGCACCATGCAAATAGCTCCTGTGGTGGAATATTTGAAGCCACCCGAGGCAGCTTGAGACGCCTCTTCACGCTGCGGAGGTGCCATTGGGCCATTCCCAGAGAAAGGGGCACCTTTTAAGGGGGGTTCCTATAGATGTTCCCTTGAAAATGTGCTTTCAAATCAGAAAACCCCATGGAAACCCTAAGAAATGATGTCTTGAAATCAGTGGTGAACGTTCCAATTTTTGTATGAAATTTGCTGAAGGGTATAAAAGGGGAATTTGTGGGAAACCCTGGCTGCAAATCTTCCTGGCCGCAAAATCATCCGAGCGTAAGGATTCTTTGGAGACAATAGACTCGCAGTCATCCTAGCTCGTCAACAAGATGTGAAACAAGCAGCCAGTTCAGTTGTTGATATGGATGTATCTGAAAATGAGGTGTACAGTGGTATACCCCCCAAAGGAACATGTTCAACCGGAAAATGTAAACAAACGGATATAATTTTGGGGTACCGAATTTCAGACAAACCCGTTTGGGTTGCCCGGTCCACATTTCGTGGATGCTGGGGGCAGTACGGTACCCTGCCTTGTACAATATGCCGACCTGAGGCAGGTGTAATTTATGCAGCTGGAAGGGCAAGCATATGTGTCTTTACTATGATCCTAGCATGTGTGTTTTTCTTGGAGATACACACATGACATTGCTCTACCAAAAAGTATGCAAACACCTGTACATCTACATATCAACGCTAGTATGATCTCACACAAAAACACATCAAGAAATGGATCATCGAGTCCACTGCAAAAATTGCGGGAATGGGCTGGACCTCAGCCGTTTATCCAGCAAAATTGCATATCGAAATAAGTAACTGATCAACCAAATTGGTGTGTGTCAGAAGAAGCATCAAAAACCCTTTGACTGAACTAGGGCAATTCACCAACCTGAAATAATGTCATATTGGGATGATTCACCAATTCCTTCGCTGGGGTCCTCTGAGTATTTGTGCACAGATATTGGATGGTCCGCCAAACATAGGGGTTTTACCATGGTTAACCAAGAAAAAATGGGTGATTCGACCACAATTTCTGATGATATAAGAAAAAGATTTGGTGAGATGACGGGCCACATTAATGATAACACAGGGACAACTGATTGTATTACCAACAAAAATGGCAGTATCTGGGGTACCCCCCCCCCGTTATTATTCACACATCCAAGGGTACAACCAAGCTGCAATGGTGGAAATGCACACCATGCCGGCACCGGCCAGAATCTTGGTGCGTATCGTCGACCCCATGGCACATCGATGAACCGCCCAAGGTGTAGGGCGGCGTCTCCAAGTGTCTCCAACGCGTTGCGGTGCGGTGGTCTGGGTCTGGGGATGGCTTGTCAAAACGCCAAGGATTTTCCCGTGGGGAGTGAAGCCTGAAACCAGGGATTTTCATCAGCCATCCGGCGATCCGGGAATGGTGAACTCTCATCATATGCCATTGCTGAACTGTGAGAAAAACTAAAGCCTGGACGACGGCAATCCGCGGCGACCTCATCTTGTATGGGAACCATCCAACAGGTTTTGAAATACCTGACCAATAATTCGGATATATTTGGGGCTGTATCTGCAGCACCAAGGAAGGAAAAAAACAACATCTTTGTCTCTGAAGAATATCTCTTGCCGTTGCTGGAGTTTTTTGTCGCTTCCGGAAGACACCGGAAGGACATCTATCGGGACCCCGGTAGCAATGTACCCCTTTGATGTTGGGATGTCCAATTTCTGGTTCAGAAACTCAAGCAGTTTCTAGGTTGGTCTTGGGCGACCAAGACAAAGCCATATCACGACGTTCACTTTGAACGTACCCTCTGGTTATGACTAACATAGCGAACTGGAAAATCCATTATAAATGGAGGTTTTAGTGGGAAAATCATCGGTAAGGGGCCATTTTCCATAGCTATGTTAAATAACCAAAGGGTATGTTTTCCAGAATTCAAAACTTCCCGCTTGGAACGTCTCCAGCTTGGTACCACCTTCCAAGTGGAAGTCTGCTTCAACCATTTCCACACATCAAACCTATGTAAGCAAGTATATTTTGGGGATCCCATGGTTCGATTTCTTATTCTGAAGTCTTATGCAAAAAAAACTCAAGTTGGTACTGTAAATTTTCTTCAAAACGCATATTCCGCATTTGAGCGTCATGCATAATGGCCGGTCTTAACTGAGAATGGCATGGGATTTTCTCAGTGTCAATTAATTATCACTGGACGTTCTAAGTGTGCACATAGAACCTGGGTAAAATAACGTTCTGACTGACTTGCTTTGAACATCTCTAGCTTCAAATGAAAGACACCTTTTCATGTTTTTTCCCCATAAAATAACTCATTTGAAGTGATAGTTGGTGGCTATGGTGTATCATCACCCAATTCGGCTCCATTGAGCCAGGCTGTCGAATCTGTCGAGCGCAGCTTTTGGAATCGCCGAAGCCCAAGCAACGCGAATCGCGCAGCGCACGGCAGTTGCCCAACACACAGAACAACGGCTGGGTCTGGAAGCTGATTTCTCAGCAAAGACGCTTGCAACCTGCTCAAATTCACGGCACTTGCCTATGGCACCTATGGATCCAAAGCCTGGAAACTCGAAATTTGCTGTCATGGCAGGTCCCTCGTATTAAATTTCGCGAGTGGCTGCGTTTGGGAGCCAATATGTGTGCAGTCACTATTTCGGCTTACCCAAAAACCTAGAAGCGTGCAAAATATACCGTTTGGGTAAATCTGCCGCAACGTTGCAAATCCTTTTTTCACACCCCGATTCGAGGTTTGTCCCCAGCAGTCTGTAATTTGTTTCAGGAATCTACCCACTTAGGTGCCAGCAACAACAACAACAACAGTGAAGCAACAAATACATAACAAACCCATAAAAGATGTACGCACTGTTAAAAATATCAATTAATATGGGTATATACATTGCAATATACAACTGCAGACTCCAGGGGTTACCTTTTTCTAACTCCGACAGCTACTTTAAGCATTTCTAATCTTTTTTGCAGCGCGCTTCCAACCAGAAAGGAAAACCTACGCTGCACGCATCTCAGCCAATGCCCCTCCCGGCAGATTTTGAGCACGCACCCACGAAGCACCGTCTCAGCATCCACGATTCTGTCAAGAAATGTCAAGAATGCTTCTGGCATGGTGCCTGCCAGGCAGAAAGAAGAACACGTGCTGCAATCATGCCAGCCAAAGGAAGATCTAGGTAGCCTTTGGTAATGCTCCTGCCAAGCAGTCTTGAGGACGCACCCGCCCACGAAGCACCACCTCCAGGTCCATAGGGCTCTCTCAAGAATGCCTTTGGCATTGTGCCTGCCAGGCAGAAAGAAGAACACGTGCTGCAATCATGTCAGCCAAAGGAAGATCTAGGTACAGCCTTTGGTAATGCTCCTGCCAAGCAGTTTTGAGGACGCACCCGCCCACGAAGCACCACCTCAACGTCCAGGGGGTGTGTCAAGAATGCTTCTGGCATGGTGCCTGCCAGGCAGAAAGAAGAACACCTGCTGCAATCATGTCAGCCAAAGGAAGATCTAGGTAGCCTTTGGTGATGCTCCTGCCAGGCAGTTTTGAGGACGCAACCGCCCACGAAGCACCAGGTCCATGGGGCTCTCTCAAGAATGCCTTTGGCATTGTGCCTGCCAGGCAGAAAGAAGAACACCTGCTGCAATCATGCCAGCCCGAAGGAAGATCTAGGTAGCCTTCGGTAATGGTCCTGCCAGGCAGTTTTGAGGACGCAACCGCCCACGAAGCACTACCTCAACATTCATGAAGCTCTGTCAAGAATGCTTCTGGCATGGTGCCCGCCAGGCAGAAAGAAGAACACGTGCTGCAATCATGTCAGCCAAAGGAAGATCTAGGTAGCCTTTGGTAATGCTCCTGCCAGGCAGTTTTGAGGACGCAACCGACCACGAAGCACCACCTCTACCTCCATGAAACAATAAGAGTTGGAAGTTTCTATAGAAATATGCTTAGAGGGAATTTTGAGAGAAAAAAGTGCTCAGAAGTAGAGATGTCTAAAGGAAAATGTTCAGAATAGTAATTTCTAAAGGGCAAGGTTTCTAGAGAACAGTGCTCACAGAAAGTATATAGAGTAGAAGAGGTATTTCGAACCCAGAAGTAGAGATTTCTTTTGACAGAAAAAGAGATTTCTATAGAAAGGAGTAGTTTTTAGATCAGGTAGAAGATCGAGCGCCCTGGTATACCGAACTTGCGCTCCACCTGCCAAATTTGCATGCTCCATCTGCCGAACTTT